AGAGAGACAGTATTGCAATGGAGAACAAACAATATAAGAATGAAGTATCCAAATACCTTCTAACCAAAGAATGAATGCTGAAAATCTGAAATCCTGCAAGACAACAGATTTCTGCACAAAATACTCATTCTGGATCCAAATAGTAATCTAAATTATTAAAACAATAAAATATGTGGGTGCACATTCACACCTAATAATGTAAAAGCACCATTATCTTTGAATACTTGGATGCAAATAGCCACATGCAAGTCAACAGAAAAAAAAATTCAGATGGCTTGCTAGAAATAGCCAAGACAATCTAAAACTAAAAAAAAGGTTTTAGATATTCAGTCTTTCTTTTTGCCTGTGATAAGCTGTACAGCTATTCAATACTGTATGTCACCTGGCTTGTACTCAAATTTTCTGCATCTATTTTCATACCTCAATAAGTTTGTCTCCTTTGACTACATCCAAGTGCAACCCTGGTGGAGGCTTTCCTGCCCTAGGAAACAAACACAAGAAAAATATTTTAAGAATATTTAAAGTAGCCATTGGAATCTCTGAAGTTATCAACAGATGTAAAATGACCACAAGTTGCTTTGATAGGGAGAACCTGAACTTGGGCATAAAAAGTCAATTATGCTCAGTGCTGACCCTAACGTTTAGTGTAACTGAGCATTCATGAGTATAATTTAGATATATAACAAATTATGAATCAATTGCCTTAAGATGGTTGCCTGAATAGGGAACTGAAAATCTGTTAATTTGGTCCTACAGGTCATGAAACCTCCAGTTTTTTAGGGATATGGTTTCAAGATATGGAAACAAAATAGGTGTATCCTATGTATGGATTTCCTGGAAGCATCTGGAAGACCAGTGAGAAACAGCATGAATCATAATTATTACAGTGCCCTTTGGTGAAAGCATCTACTTGGAGAGGTTATTTATTTATTGAATTCAACATATAAGGAGACAAATGTGTCTACAAATACAGTCTTACATACTTCTGTAATGTATAGGTTTATATGCCTGATTTAAAGAGGATGGCATGTGGCTGGGAGACAAAACTACATAACATGACTACATAACAACCTAACATCTGTTCAGATCTTGCCTCTGCTACAAAGTATTTTAACTTTTATGCTCTCCCAAATCTGCTACACATAAACAGTTGTGTAACAGCTAAAACTGTTAATATATGTTAAGCTTTTTGAGCAGTCAATATTTCAAATGCTTATTGCAGTTATTTTTGATGCGCATATTTACCACTACAGAAAAAGACACAATCTCCAATGCTGGCGTCAAGAGTCCCCGTTGTGTTCTGTCATTAGTTAAGGTCAAAACAATGGATATGATACAAATAATTGTTTTGGTACAATATAGATGACTTTTTATCTTTGAAATGCCAATCTCTTTCTCTAAAAACCTTGGTGGGTCTTGTGGTACAAAATCCTTGAGCACATTTGCATTTTTAAGGCACATTTTGACAGCTCTTCAATTGCTGCTTTAATCTCTCACTTTCACATTTCTCTTTTGTAAAATCTAGCAAATACACAGTGAAGTCTATGATGGAACTTTCCCAACATATTCCCAAGCTGAGCTATTTGAAAAGAATAAGCCACTAAGTCTCACAATTTAATAATAAATCACATAAGTGACATAGTTGATAGCTGTAACTATTGTTACTAAAATACAAAACCTTGCTAACAAGTTGAAACTCAAACTTTCTACTTGACCACTACTTTGATCTAAGGAATACATATTTATATACTGTACATTCAATCACTACCATCCATTATTCAGATTCTTACAACTGAGGCAAGATGTCCAAATTATCCCAAATGAATGTCCATGCTGCCTAAATCAATTTCCCCGCCATAACCTCATTTTGTAGGTTTATATGAAGGACTTCAGTAACATACCTGGGATGAAAGCATATTTTGATTTCTCCCAGGCTCAGAGATTTTAAAGTAAAACTTATGTCATTTGTCCATACTCAGCAGCCTACTCTCTCTCATTTCACAAAGACCGTTCAGTTAGCCATACAGCCTGCCCTTATCCATCATATGGCGTCCTATATTGAACTTCTTCGCCATCCCTATCCTGAGGCACATCAATAAGTAGCAAGCCCTCTGAGGCACCAGAAGCATCCTTGGAGATTGAAAACATGTGTTCTGCCTAAGCTAAAAACACTTTCCCCCTCCCTCCCCGTCCAATTATTTCACATACGAAGCGCCACACTGGAACGCTCAAAGGACCAATCTTGAGGGGATTCCCTTCAATCGGTCCTCCCTTCCAGGGGCTGCTACCCCTCCCGTCCCCGGACCCGCTCCCCTCTTTTAGGATGCTGCTCCGCCTCCCAAAGAAAACGCAGCCCCCTTGCACGGCCAAGTCGCTTCCCCGCTGTCCAACGGCACACGCCCCCACCCTCACCAGGTTGGGCAGTCAAAGAGTGGGAGGCTACCGCCGCCGCCACCGGCAGAGTTTGCGTTCGCCGCCATCTTGTGACTGCCCCCATTCAGCTGGACGCAGGGCACGCCGGGAAGCTGGAAGACCTGGCGGGAGGGTTGCGATCCCAGCATGCATCGCGCCCAGGCGGGCAAGCGGGGATGAGAGGGGGGAAAGGGGGAAGAGACAAGCCGTAGAGGATGGAACGTATTCTATGTAAAGCGCGAACGCGGCGTTAGGGGCGACGTCACATCGACGCTCTTTCCAAGAGCGGGAACAGAGAGCCGTCGGGGAGGGAGGCCATTTTATAACTTGCGGATTTCAAGGCGGTGGGGTGTGCTTGCCTCTTGCGTGGGCCGAAGTCCACGCTCTTTCTCCTGCAGTCTGTGGCGGGTTTTTTTTCTTGCTGTTTCCTCCGGGCATTTTTCTTTTAAAAAAATGTGCCACTGTTCATTATTGCATGATGCTTGCGCGAGAAACGTGTACGTCATAAAGCATCCACGTGCGCGCACTTCGCCTTTTTAAAGTCGCCAGCTCCTGTTTGAGGGGCGACGAACCTGCCTGAGATCTCCTCCGATTTGGAGGAGAAGCAGAGCGACGGGCACCTGCAAACCTCGTCCTTTCAGGAGATTGAGGCGGACGCTGCCCAGTTAATTTTAGAGATGTTGATGACCCGTTAGTCAGTCCGCTCACGCAACGTCCTTGAACTAGTAGCTACATTTTTGGCAATAGTAGTTAGACTTATATACCGCTTCACAGTGTTTTTCAGGTTTAACAGAGTCAACCTATGCCCCCAACAATCTGGGTCATTTTATCCACCTCGGGAGGATGGAAGGCTGAGTCAACCTTAAGCCTGGTGAGATTCGAACTGCCAAATTGCAGGCAGCCGGCAGTCAGTAGTACAAAAACCGCGTTTCAAGTATTACAAAGTCCATCCTGTGTGGCCCTCAGGTTGGTTTTAATACTTGGTTTGTATTTTGTGCCCTAACATCAATGTACAGTGTGAAGCCTGGAAACGAATTCTTTACAGTAATCAGGTTAAAACGTGAGTGCAGTTGCCATAGGATACTTGGATGAATTCTCAAAGTTGTGTTGATAGTATTCACAAGATAGCTACATTTTACAAACAATCCAATTTAAACTCAAACCCACCCACCCCCAACTGTACTTTGAGAAGACACAGCTACCATGCACTCATGGGTTGATGTGCATATAATATGCACATATTTCCACAGTGTGTGCCTTGGAATTGTTCTTGACTTCTGGCAAATGCTGAACATAGGTCCTTAAATTTTCAGGTCCAGGTTTTTCAGAAGTGATTAGTCATTGCCTTCCTAGAGCTCAGTGAATGGCTGGTACCAAGTCATCAGCTAGTTTCTTGCCTAGCCAAGGCCTATAATCAGCATTTAACCATTATGCTGACTCATTTGCACACTTGGCAAAAACAAATCCTTTGGTGAATGTACTGTCTTTGATCAGTCTCATTACCTTCTGACATTTACTAACTGATATTTACAAACAGCAGGATTCTGAAGTTTTCAATTTTCAATTATTTTCTTGTACTTCAGGCAGTCTTGAAAGGAAAATGGACCACCAAGTTATCAGAGTTGCACTGATATTTAATTTGAAGATTTAACTTGAATTAGAACTTCAATTGTACCAGGAAAAAACACAGTATCTCCACAAATGGATTTTTCATCTTTTTATAAATGCAACCATTTTAGCATTCAGTAGTGTTTTTATTATCTTGCTTCTTGCTCCCACTAGTGAAAAAAATTGTATATAGGTAGTCCTTGACCTACGTCCACATTGAGCTTAAAATTTATGTTGCTAAGTGAGAGAGTTGTGAGTTGCCCCATTTTACTACCTTCCTTGCCACAGTTAAGTGAATCAGTGTAGTTAAGTTTTTTAAGTGAATCTGGCTTCCCCATTGATTTTGCTTGTTAGAAGGTCACAAAGGTGATCACATGACCCCAGGACACTGCAGCCATCATAAGTATGAAACAGTTGCCAAGCATCTGAATTTTGATCATGTGACCATGGAGATAGAACAGTCATTACCGGTAGTGTGAAAAATGGTTGTACTACTGTAACTTTGCTGTACCTTTGAACCATCACTAAAGGAATGGTTGTAAGTTGAGGACTACCTGTATTTTAGATATCACTCTCAGAGCTTTCTCAGCAGGTAAAATTATCTGAAATAAAAATTGAGTTGAATTTGGTAACAAATAGGGTAGGATACCTCACTTATTACTCCAGACACAATCTTCATTGGCAGTGTCTTCTACAGGGAGAGTCTTTGCAGCAAACCCATAAAACTTGTGCATTATAAAACCTTATTAGGACCTAAGCTTTCATGAATTTAAGATGCTGTTCAGAGGCATGAAACATAAATCTTTAAGTGATAACACATGAAGCACCACTTGGAATGGAGTATAAGGAACAAAAGCCATACTCCAATATCTTTTCCTAACAATGCAGTCGGCCTTCAATTTGAAGTCAAATATTTTCTCAACAATTTAAAGTCAATTTAGTTTAGTTCAGGTGATTTCTGCTTAAAAAAGAGACATGTCAAATATCTAAAAATGTTTATTGATACTTCAATGGACGGAATGATAGTGCAAAGAAAGATGTGCAACTGAGGGCATCATTCTTCACGCAACTTTCACAGTTTAGTCATTTAAATATGTAAAATGTGTGAAGTAATAAATAGATGTTGGGAGAAAAACATTCACTACTTGTATACAGAATGTTACCAAGTCAACATTTTAGGCTTTCCATGCCCATTTTCTTTTAAGAATATCATTGACCCAAATATGCTACCCAGAAATTTCACTAAAAATACAAGTTCTGAGCAGATTAAAACACCAAATCAGACATAAAATGGGTTTCCATAAAGAGACAGAAAAGTGAATCTTAGACTGGCATGCTTCTAATCCTCCATTGGTACAAAAGGTTTAAAGCTTCCTTTTACCATTCAGAACGTTTTTCCTAAACTCCCAATATGGATGTTTTTTTTAGCACAAGTAGGGTACCAGTAGGTCAGGATTAAGCTACTTTACACATTTAAATATAGGAGGAAATCAAGTCATTCTCACTATAAGCAAAGAAGGACAGAAGTCATATCAACCTCCAGTATGCTGCAAACTTCTTTCATTAAATCTTGTTTTCCTAGTACATTTGACTGCAATATATACAGACCGTCTAGGAAGGAAGTTGGTACTCCGAACTAGAAATCTTTTGGACATATTTACCAAAATCTCAAAAGATAAGAGCCATAACCATCTGTCATCTTTCCATTTCAGACTTGGTGCCAACTTTTTACTGCTATAATAATGTACATGCTAGTGGTACAAAGTTGGGAAGAGACAGTAGGATGGGCCATTTCCAATGATGCCTTCATGAAAAAGACATCTGGACATATTACTAAGCAATTGATAGCCACCACAAAAATGGAGCAGAGAGAAACAGGACTTTAAATACAAATACCTTCAGACTAATTTTTACCAAATGATTTTATAAAGAAGACACCTTGAATATGTCTCATGTTAGCTATGCTATGTTTGGGAAAATCGAGATGTTCTCTCCATAAGTTGAAAAACTATTCTTTGTCTGCTACAGAAGGTCCTATTTTTTCCCCCAAGCCCACTGGGCTATACTCGAAGCAGCTTCCGCGAATTGAAGTTGGGAATTGCTGTTTTAAACGAGTATGGCAGTTTCCTGTGGGGGGATGCACATCTGGAACAGCTGTGGATCACTGAAAATTGCTTGGGATTTTGTACTTGGTTGTTATTCCTATATGAGTCACTTATAAAAGCAGTACACATTTAAAAAGTTAGATCTGTAGTATTTATGGCAATTAACAAGCTAATCTAAATGATTGATCACATCCTTCAATACTTGGGACAGGAACATTCAGAAAAACAAAATGCCCTCCACAAGTTTAGTTAAATAAAATAAATTAACGTGGACTGTCTTCATGGTTCACTAAATCCAAGAACTAGTTAGCTTCATGTTAGTTTTTATATTATAATTACTAATGGAAAATCAGTTTCTGTTCCATTTCACCTCAATCCTCTCATTCCTTAGGCTTGTTTCATGGCAGAAATATTAATTGTGTATCTAATTCCACAGAAATGCTTCATTTTTGTGAAAATTGCCAAATGATTATTACCAAGATTAAACAAGCTAAAGCCAGGCCAGAAATTAGGAGGCAGATCTTCTTGCGTGATTTCTTCTGTTTAAAAAAACAAAAAACAATAGGGTATATACTGCAGGAAAAGAGATATACACACTTTATACCAAGAAAAGTGGTAAGAGATGCAACATTCAGCTCCAATTTCAGGATTAGAGTTACAGTGAAACCATAATTTAAAAACTTGAGTATCTCAACAATGGAATGGATCAGATAAATCATTTAAAAAAAAAACATCAAATAGGTTTTAACAGGTTGATTTAAACTATTCAGAAAAGAATATTTTTGTTAGTAAGCATTTGATTCTCTGCAATGTTTGGTTATCTTTTCAGCACTAGCACCGATGATATTACCTAGTTTGGGTAGTGAAACGACTGCAAGAAAACAACTAAGCTCAGAGAGCAACAAGGACCCCTCATTTCAACCTTGAGCTACAAATATTCTTCTCTATTAGTACTTTAAAACAAAATGAACTTTACTTTTCCCACCCTCTTGGAGGGTGGGAAGCAACAGTTAGCTCTTCCAAGACTGATGATACATTGAAGGCTAAACATACAGTTGGAAAAGGATCAGAGTTAAGTCAGCAGAGGGGTGGAATATAGGTGCTTGTATGCCTTTCATGCCTCCCAATTTGTCCTAAATCACGAGCAGTTAAAGGGACTGAACAGAAAGCTATATATTTCTCATCATTTTGGATCTGAAAACATTTGAAATAAGACAGAAAGAGCATCTCTTAAACGACAGACAGAAATACCAATTATGCTGCCGCCACTTCTAATTATGAAAGACTTTGGGACTAGACAAAGATTACCTGATAATAAGCAGCTCTCTGCAACTGTTCACTGGCATTTTCCACATGGACTTCTGCATTCTCTACATTTGCTTCTATGCTATCTATAGAGAAAAAGAACATCCACTTAAAAAAAACAACCCACAACCATCACCACTATATGATGCATTGTTACAGTTAAACCTGTTTATATAGCCTGTATAAAGTTATTTCAGCATGAGAATAGTTGTGTGGCATACCTTTTAGTTGTACTAAGGGGTCATCTGCTGATTAATAATGGTTAGCTTCGTTTCAAATAGGGGACTGTCTGCCAGGCCCAAACCTAGAGATGAGACCTGGAGATCGAAATGACTCTAATCCTTTATATGTTTATACCCAGTAGGCAGAATCTTGCCAAATTAAAGCTATAACTTTCTAAGCTACCAGATACATCTAATATATAGTTTGCAGCCAAGCAAAAAACACTATTTACTTACCAATCATGTCTCCCTGATCATGGATCATCATAGCCAAATCTTTAAAAATCTGATTCACATCCAAGATATCTGCCTGAAAGGGAGATTTTTCAAAAAATTACTGTTTTTGTACTTATATGTTTCTATTATTATTCCAATTGTTAAGTCAAATAATTATTCCTGTTGCTTAACTCTAAAGTCTCATTGTCCATACTATACTTATGGAAAGAGGGTTTTTGGAACCGCTATGGCATTTGTTGCTCTGTATTGCCACTTGCTGAATCTTTGGATTCACCTTCCACATTCATTCTTTATAATGAAATTTCATTTATGAATGAATGTGTATCACAAGCACTGTGTCATCTTCTAGTCTTAGAAGAATACTTGGGTTCACCCACTCCAATCTCTTCTCTTTCTACTACATCCTCCTGTTTAATAACCGATTGTAAAAGTGGAATCCACATTTTACAAAATCCTACACTTTGTCTGCTTGTCTTTTAAGAAGATATAGCAAAATATCGATGTGCTGCACTTTGCAGCATTCTTCTAATTTCCCAAATACAAATTAGAAACTTTATGAATGGTATGAAAGATTCATATCAGTTTATCAAATACTATCAATGTTGCACATTTTGCTCTTATTTTGAACTCTTACTAATTTGAGATTGCCTTGAAAGAATGAAAAGTCATGTTCATATCCCAGGTCCCCAGCAAGTCATCTGTGCATTCACAGAACTGTGCCTGGTGCCTGTCAGATTCCTTGAACCACCTGATTTTAATTTTTTAAAAAAATATGAAAAACTGGTATGCTGCAATGTAAAGGGCCAGCCTCAGGCAACTTCTTAATTTCCATGAATGCCTTTAGCCCTCTAAGTTTTCTAATAAAAACCATAATGATGGGTAGCTCTAGTCTAGATCCTTAGTTGGAATTGTGTTCATTTGCCTAGAAAATAACTTAGCATATAAACATAGCAAGAAACATCCTACGGAGGGCAGAACTAAAGGAGATGGTTGTTTGTATTAAGGTAAATAGAGGCTTTCTACCTAGACATGTTTCTCATGGCAACCATTTTACAAATGGACATGGCTGACTATGCCAATCATTCTCCAAGGTGTTCTCAAAATTCCAATAGTGGTCATCAGACTGTACAGTATTATATAAATATCACAGGGTTCAAATGAAGAGCACAGAGTGGCTTTTGACAAAAAGAGACCTTTGATCTCTTTAAAGTATTTTTTTTTTAAAAAACATTGCTTCTGGCTAAATCTAACAGCTACTTACCTCCAATTGCCTAATGGCAGTTTCCCTCTCTTTGATTAACTCAAGATCTTGTTCTGTTATAGCTACGTCTTCTTCCTGAGCCTGCATCTGATCCCACTCTTCATTGCTGAAGGAAAAAGAATGGACAATTCACTCTTCTTGCTGTCCCCAGGAGATCAGGAAAAGGTTACTCTAACTTTTTGGATTCACTTATATACTTTCCTTAGCTGTGGAAAAATATTTAGTGGTATTTAGAGCTATATTGTCTACTAATCAGGATGTCAATAAGGAAATCAGGAGTGTACAAGAAAAAGAGTAATAAAGTCTGAGGAACATCCTGCTAAACAATGATTTTGGCTCCAGTATCTGAATTGAGCCACTATTTCTGAATACAAGTTGTGCATCATATGAGCAACCTATGACGAAGGCACATCAGATATATTTTCAAATTGAATGTGGATTAGGAATGTTTTTGCAACTGAAGAAACAAGGTAATAGATATCAGAAAGCAGTATTACCTGTCAAATGAGACCAACTGCTCTTCCCTGCGTCTCTCATCTCCCTGGAAAGAAACAATTCTAGATCAGCCAACATTTACACTGGGAATATACGATGCAGCAATTAGATCCTTTCTGACCTAATTAACAAGGGTTGCTTTTTTTTTTAACAAGTCATGGATTTGGCAGACATATCCAAGGCAAAATTAGTTCTTTCATTTAAAAAGAGTACCAATTAACCAAGAGAGGTTGTTAATAAAATCGAACAATTGAAATGGAATTGAACTAAACACGAAGGGACAAATATTTTACCAAGTCACTATATCTGCAACAGTATGATAATTATTCCTGTTCCCCTTTGAATCACTCAGTCTATCTAATTTAATGTGCTGGTTGCCAGACTCTGTGTGTGTGTGTGTGTGTGTGTGTGAGAGAGAGAGAGAGAGAGAGAGAAGATGCAATTAAAGGTCACTGCTCTGAAGACTTGTAGCATTTTTTTCTATTCATCAATATGGTCATCAGTTGGACATCATTGGTCCCTTGCCTCAAGTAACAACTGAACTTTCATTTTCTTCATCCAAATCACATAAGGTTGGCATAGTATTGTATAACAGCTTTTCTGTGAGAAGACTGAAAGATAGCTACTGTCCTATGAATGGTTGCTGAACTTGTTTGGAGTTTGTTTGGAGGTTCTAACAGGAGTGTAGCTGTTATATATCCTTAACCAAAAACTGGAACTCTCCTATCTGGGATGGTCATCCACTTCCAACAAGTGTCCAGCTTCAGGAGGGATGCCCATGGATAGTGAGGGAGGAAGAAGACCACTCAACAACTGTGGCAATCAATAGGATGACAAATGTTGCACCCAGATTGCCCTCACATCTTAGCTACTGTCCTGACGGAGACAAGGACAAGAAGATAATACCGTAAAGCAGAAAAGCAACCATCACTTATTTTTTTCCAAGTGGGTATTGGAATATATATAAAGCCAGATTTTTTCCCCAGAACTTTCCTTGTTAAGAACCATCTATAGTATGACTTTAGAATAAACAGGGTAGATGTGAAGCTGGAAAATACAAACATAACCATCAGGTTAATAAGATAGTTTGCCATCTATTTTTCCTTTAAAACAAATTATTCTTTTGTGGAAAAACAACTTACAGAGAAACGAGAGCTAGCTCTTGCCCTGGCAACAGTTTCCTTTTCTTTCTCCGAGACTCTTCTCTGCACTGCTTGAAAATTATTTAAGGCTGCAGAAAAGTCATTCATTAAACGCTCCTTCTGAAGTTTCTGCTGGCGCTAGAAAAGAAGAATTTTATCTGATTGTAAAAGCAAACTCATCAGCTTCAAAGAAATATAACACTTACTGGATATTTTTGCAGCTTTCAACATACAGGTCTTTTAAGAAGAGATTGGACAGCCATTTGTCCATAATGGTATAAGGTCTACTGCTCAAGGAAGGGGTTGGACTAGAAGACCTCCAAGGCCCCTTCCAACTCTGCTATTCTGACTGATTCAGGCCACATTTATCCATTGTTTTATTAAAAAGATTTTAAGCTGATTTCATGTTCAGCCGTACTGGGAATTTGGAGACAGAGAATCCGTGTGAAAGGTTAGAGTATGGGCTCATTAACATCCATTCATAACAATGAATGGCGAGTGACTGGTTCAGTCCCTCTCAGCCCAACCTCTTATTCCCAAGAGGGTTGCTGGGGAAAAAATATTCATATTCTGAGGATAAAATGGAAGAGGTTTGCCTATGCTGCTTTGAGCAACATAATAATTGCAACAATAGGAGAAACAAAGGTCCAACAACAGAGCTCCAACAAACCAGAGTGTGAGGATGATTTACACTTATTTCATACACCAGGCACTGAAAATTCATTTGTCAACTATATGTGCATACTATTAATTTTCATTATTACAGCAGATGGAATGACAAATTATTCCTCATCTCCAAAACGCTACTCACACTGAGAACCAGCATATGCAAAATATGTAAGTCTATGAATGACCTCTGCCCACAGATCAATACCACCGTGTAAAGGAAGTATTGTCATTCCTGATGATTGATTATAACATTAAGGCATGGTTCACACATCACCACGCTAAGTTGTAATGTGTTATGCTTGGTTTTGGCTTGTTATGTTTTGCAAACTCAACCATTGTTGTTTTAAACCATGATTAAAAAGCAACGGTTTAATGTGATCAACAAACCTCATCAGTTTTCTCCCAATACATGAAAACCATAGATAAACCCACAAACCTGTTCTGAAGTGGATAAGGGCAGTGGAAGGGAGCCTAGCTCCTTCAGGAATTCATTTGTTTCTTTGGCAAGCCGGTTTGCTGTATGTTGCAACTGTTGTCTAGAAACAAAAATACATTTCAGCTTTATTCTGGCAAGGATGTATCCTAGTTCCATTTCCTTTTAATTTTATACTGCATCTATTTGAATGGTGATTTGAACTGGATTATTTAATTATGGCTTCAAACTGTTCTTTTTACCCAATCCAAGATTGATCAAACTTTGTTTTTCATATTAAAAGAACTAATTTAGATATCCATCCTGCTTTCAGAACCCAGTCTATCGGATTCAATAGTTTGGTTTTTGTTCCCAGTTGTTTCTTTCTTGAGCATTTCTCCCCTACTTGACAATTTTTTAAAGATTGGATTCACAGTGTCTCCAGTCAGTCTGACTTAAACAACACTCCATAACAAAACAAAACAAAACAAAAACCCCAGAACTCCTTGTTATTCAGTGGTGAAGAAAATGCTTTGAATGTGAAAGTTATTTAAAGCTTATGTCCAAGCCTATTCTTAGAATTGCTATAACTCTATTATGAACAGATGGAACAGGAATTTTGGAGATTCTGCTCATACAGCAGTGGTTTGAGAAGCTATCCCTTCTTTAGTTTCTTGCTTTCTGGCATTTAACTCTTTTTTTTTTAAAAAAAATCAGCTCTTGGGGGAAAATTGGGGTCTGATTTCCTTCTGGCTCTTGTAACAAGGGGATTTTGTTCATATCATTTTTTTTTTGCTTAATTTCTAGAACTTGGGCATTTAAAAATCCACATAATATTGTGAAAAATCAGTTAGAATTTTTGATATCTTGTAATGGTATCATACAAAATTATCCAGTTCCTGTTCTTATCTAAGCATTTGCTCTTTTTCTCTACCTCGTTCATGTTCACAAAATGGAAGCTAAGCTACCTACAAATCAACTTTTTTTCTTAACCCATTGTGTTGGAAATTATTTACAATATTAAATTATTCTAGTCTATGAATTTGTTAGACCTCAAGTTAAGATTTCCAAAATTAACATGAGTATCTGATTAGCCCTCAAGCCCTGCATAACTTAAAATCTGCTACTCAGATCATACATACAGGTTTTCCTGCAGTTTGGTTGAATCCTGCTTGGTTCCCAACTGATTCATCAAATTCTTTATTTGAGAAGCTGTAAAAGAAAAACATAATTTGTCATGTACAGATAATCCTCAACTTACAACCACAAGTAAGCCCCAAATTTCTCTTGCTAAGCAATGTGTTTGTTAAGTGAATGTTAACCAATTTTAGGACATTTCTTGCCACACTTGTTAAGTGAATCACTGCAATTAAGTTAGTTAAGTGAATCTGGCTTCCCCATTGACTTTGCTTGTCAGAAGGCCACAAGATGATCACATAACTCAGAGATATCAATGATGATGAAGATATCAGAAATCAAGCTAGACTCAAAAAAAAAAAAGATTTTTTTTACTTGTAGGACACAAAGAATAAGCCAATCAGACACAGTAATCTTAAAGACATCTAGGAAAGATAGAGGGATTGAACAAATAAGTGGAATTGCTGGTTCAAAAGTAATAGCTATATGTCCCTCATCTGCAGATTCTATTTATCTATCTTTGCAGCTGATCTAGTCCCAAAACAGGTATGCAGTTTTTTTTATTCAGTCCCTATATTGAATAAAGGACCCATTCACAACAAATGTGAGCATGTAAACTTGGCTTAAAGTCAGAAATTAACAGTCATCTTCTAAGAGTGATAAGTAATGTATAAATAATTCCAATGCTCACAACTTGTCTCAACAAGTTACAACAATGAGTAGATGGATTTAGCCCACAGGAAAGGCTTAAATAAAATCAGACTATCAAGATGCTAATCTGGCACCATTGAATCACATGCTCAGAGGAGGCTATAGTTTTCCAATTATAAATTGAGAAACCAAACAAAAAACAATCCACTAAAACTCCTGATAACAGAACAGGGATTGTTTAGAGTTCTTGTCCATTAAAGTGAAACTGAAAAGAATTTTTGTGCCTAATTCATGCTATTGTGGGTACTTTTGAGGAACAGCAATTCATCTAATTCATATTACTCTAGGCACTTTTTAGGAACAACAGTTATAGTAACATGTCATCAATATATTTCTCCCTAAGTCATGGGGAAGGCTGCTATCAAAATTATTTTATCTACTTACAAATTGTTTAAATATATTGATGTGATAAGAGGTTAAATAAAAAAATGCCATCAAGGAAGTGCTAGTGAGATAGCTAGTCAGTAAGCACATACACTAATATTTTTTATTACTAAAAAAACCCAACTCTGCTTATTGAAAAATGAACTTTTGGGATTATTTTTTGGCAGATATCTACAAGTATCTTCTGTAGATATCTTCTGATATCTTCTGTAAATACGTTTTAAAAGTATTGATTCCAATCCTAGTCCATAATATGGATTTCAGAAGATCTGTTGTAAATTAGATCCCCACAAAAATGAAGACACTCTCTGATGAAGGAGACAACTATTTGACTTATAAATTTAAAATAAAAGGCCAATCCAGCTGCAGGCACGTTGTAGCCTGGTTATGTTGCATACAAAGCTTCAGTCCATTGATCTCTAAAGCTTGCACAAACAGGACAATTCAAGCCTATGTTGATTCCTCAGCAGACTGCAGGCTGTGCCAGCAGGAGATCATCTCTCATATTAAATGTGGGCGTGAATTGGTCTCATGGGGAAAGTTATGGACCTATTCCCTGAACATTTTTGTGGTCTTCAGTTGCCAGCTACAAGACCAAAATGGAACCACAAGGGGCTATGACTTAAGTGAGATTTGCCCATATTGCTGACCACTCCTTGTAATGCTATGCAAAGAGTCTGGATATCTTTGCACAGAAAAAGTTCAGTGTAGTATTGAGTTTGTTGGCAAGAAAATGATGAACCCTGAATTCCAGTAGTTCCTTGGGCATGAAAGACAGCTGGATGACTTTATGCCAATCGCTCTCAGTCCTGTGTACCTTAGAGGGGTTGTTGTGGAGAAAACAGGAGGTGGGAGAAGACCCAAAGTAGAACACATCATCAGTGGTGGAAAGGAGTGGGGTCTGCTCTTAATTTATATTCTAGTGACTTGCCCTGTCAGTGTTGATGGAGTGTCTTGGTATAGATGTAGATGTGTTATTTGTTTTCTGTTAAAAAATATTTGTCTTGCTTAAATATTTATGGCACCACCATCAATATCACACTAAAACTATAGACAACTTTCTCAAATACCCTGATCTACTGTAGAGAACAATCAGTAGGCAAAAATGGGGGTAGATAACATCATTTTTATTCATGAAACATGAAATTCAGTCAACTCAACCTTTAACACAAACATGGTTCATATTTGTGATACATTTTAAATGTTCAGTCTATTATTTATTACCTTATTATTAGTATAATTACTATTAGTAGTATTAATGAGGACAGTCTTCTAAAAAGTTGCATGCAAATAGGGATCATACCTAGGCTCTTAGACTTTGGAATTGCTTGCTGTATTTCTCACCTCAATTCGTAAGTTGCAGTATTTGACATTTTAAATAGATACACACTGTCTTTAAACGTTAGGAGATCGGGTGGATTGAAAAGAAATGATACAAATGAAAACGCGGTACAAATGATTTAAAATAAAAGAGGTTAACGAGATGGGAAGTTGGGGGAGGGGAGAAATGGGAACATTTCTAAAGGAAAGATTTTTATTTTGGAGGGAGGGAGGGGTAATTCAGGAGATGTGGGTCAAAGAGATTATCAAAAGCATCACTTACTGCATTGTGCCAGGCGCTGTATGTTGGTGCTGCAGGTCTGGATAATAGTGCTGAAATCTCGAGCCGGAAGCCCCCCAGGCCGGTAAGTCTCTAACTGTCCGTACGACATAGTTACCTCTAATGCCTCAGGGAAAGGGGGGAAAACAACCCAGAAAACAACCCCAACCGAGAAGGACAAAATATCCTATTTATCTGTCAAACCGATACCCTGCCGACGCCTCCACAACAGCGCACGCGCATCAGGCAGGCCAGACCTTTTCTCCCCTCCCCTTTCTCACGCAGGCGCACAGTAGAAGCCTAAACGGGACAGCCCACCTCCGCCTTCTCCCTGGCCTCACTCGAGGAAGCGGTGGCTGGTTGGGCGAGCCGAGGGAAAGCAAAGGAGCTGTACGCATGCGCCCTAGCCGCGGATGCTCGAAGACTTGGTTCAACCGCCGTTATCTCAAATCGAGGCTCGGTGCCATGGCAACCGGAGGTGGCTTGGTGTTGTTGCCGTTTAAAGGAGGCCGCGGTGGTCCTTGTGATGATTCCCAAGGGATAACGGCGTGGCATCGGCTCCCTCTGTCCCTGAACAGCGCTTGGTCGTCAGGTTGCAGGTGGAATGTTGGCGACAATATACACCCGTCGCCAGTTCCGTTGAATTAAATGAGGATTGACTCCTTCGGTAAAGGTGACTCGGATTAAAGCGAAGTAACCGCTGTATCAGTAACAACGCTACCGAATTCAGTCGGCCGGGTTTGCAGGTATGTGATCCTAGGATTACATCGCGGTGTTATTCTGCGAAGGCTTACTAGAGGTTAACGCCTTGAGGTCGGTGGCCTTTTTTGGAGGTACGTGGGGGATTAAAGACCAAATTGAAAAATTTGGGGCAACCATCAGATGGCAGCAGCAGCAGGATTGTGGCTCTCTTGGCTGTCAGTAACGAGCCAAGGGGATCTTGCAGTCGTGTAAAAATGACCCTTGTAAAAGTTATCCTTGGAAATGGGTCAAAAGGGGACAGACCACTAATATTGAATACCATTAACAATCAATCGTCTAGTGGTTAAGGCACCAGGCTGGAAGCCAGGAGAGTGTGAGTTCTAGTCCTACTTTAGGCATGAAAGCCAGCTGGCATGAAAGCCAGAAACCAGGAGTGTGAGTTCTAGTCTTACCTTAGACATAAAAGCCAGCTGGGTGACTTTGGGCCAGTCACTCTCTCTCAACCCAACCCACCTCGCAGGCTCGTTGTGGGAAAAACAGGAGGCAGGAAGATGAAGTATGTTCATCTTGAGTTATTTATGAAAATAATAAAGGCAGAATTAAAAAAAAAATCTAGTCCCACTTTAGGCATAAAGCCATCTGAGTGGCTTTGGGCCAGTCACTCTTTTTCAGCTCTAGGAAGACTGCAAGGACAAACCACTTTTTAAATCTTGCCAAGAAAACTGTCCAGGCAGCCACCAGGAGTCAACACTGATTTGAAGGCACACCCACACACTTTACACCAAGAACAAAGGTGGATGGACTCAATGACGGTAAGGCTGGGTGCACCATGGGAAGACTTGAAGGATGAGATTGGGGACCGATTCTCATGGAGAATATTTGTGTGGATGGTCCATTTTGAATAATGTTGAATATAAAACAATGTTAATGTTTTCAGTTAAGGGCTTTATACTCTGTTCAAAATGCTGGTCTTTACATCCTCTAGGACAGTCACAGGGGTGTCAAACTGGTGGTCTTTGGACCGGATGCATTGTGTGCAGGCCACACTCACCCCAGCTCCGTGAAGGGGAAAAAATGTTGCTAAATGTCATGTGACAACAAAGTGCTCTAGGATCTAGGTTCTGTTAGATCAGGGGTGTCAAACTCTCGTGACATATTAGGACTTTTTCCCCATTCACTAAACTGGGTGGGGGCGGGCACGTGATGCATCTGGCCTGCGAGTTTGCACCCTTGTATTAGATCATTTTCTCCTACATCACTTGGCTCAATTATCTGAATTGTGGTGAGTGAATAGAGACTGTTCATGGGGAGATCATGCCAAAATAAGATCTCACATATTTTCTGTGTCTTAACAACAAACAAGGAAAGATAGAGTGCTGTATTGGCAGAAGGTCAGTATTTAATATAGATTCACACATCAAAGCCATAATACAGTGTCATGTTTAGATTCATACAGCATAATGTGACATGGTCACATGTCATTTTAAAGTATTCTTATTTGCAGACAGGTTTGCTAAACCACAAAACATGGATTGCAGCAACTCACTATGCTAAAATCAAAGAAGCTACAGTATATAGTAAGACTATTTAGTGAACTAGGTCACATGGTTGTAAACAAAATTTATAGCTTAATCTTATATATGATGGGCTCTCTCTGCCTTTTAACTTTGCAACTGTTCCTTTTAACTTTGCTTTTTAACGACAACTTTTTTATTATTTTAAAGTTTTATCTGTAAATTGCCTAGAGGCATGCAAGTGAATAGGTGGTATAGAAAGTTGATAGACACAAAATAATTAAAATGAACCAGCTTATAATTCATTAAACTATGTCTGAAGCAACTTCTGACAGAATAATCAATTTAAAATCAATAACTATTGATACATTCTGATTTAATCCTGGAGTTTTCTACATTTGAGCCCATCCCACCTAATCAACCATAAAGAAATAAAAGTGTCAACTGGTAAAGGTTAGAAGTTGCACTTTGAATATCAAAACTCCCAATTGGAGGGTATAGAATAGATATCATAAATCAGGGAAGTGTTTGGGGAAGTGTCTGGAATATATCAGACACCAGGGGGCATCAGTGCACAGTAAATGTTTTGAATTGCGCAAGGTTTATATAAATATTCTTAGCCAAGTATTCTTAAGGCTATGTTGAAACTTCAGCCGCCTTTTGTTTATCTGCTGTTCAAGTTGCAGAACAGCAGGAGCTGGTTGAGCGCATGTGCCAATAACATGTTTGCTCTTCAAAACTCTACCCACAAGCCACAAATGAACAAATGCAACTTTCAGTTTTCTTCTTCTAAGAAGTTTATAATACCTTAGTTAGATCCAGCTACTGCTACCTCTATTATAGTCCTTTGTAATTCAAGAGTTCAACCTAAAATCTTTCTTGGTTCATATCCATGTGCTGAGTATATTTATTTAAAGGTTTGGCCAAAACATTATATAGGAACAGCACTTTCCATGTGAGTTTTTTTCCTATTGTAAAATACAGAGACAAGGAAATAGTCCTTGTGTCTTATACCTGTTCTTTAAGGGAACAGATGACCTTTGTCCATAAAACAAAACCCTTTCCATAGATGTTCCTGAAAGCTGACTATTCAGAAAGGCTGTTAAAACTCCTGGCTTTGGATGAATGAGGTTAAGCAAATGTTGCTTTTTTTTACATGCTGTATGAAGCCAAAGTTTGCTTTAAACAGAATTTGTTGAACAACCATGGGGGTTTGTTTTGCACATTATTCAAAAGCCATCAGCCGTGGATTATAAATTGCAGTAGCTGGATTCACACATTGCCCTAAGCCAAAATGAAATAAATGGTATATTTGTTGAGCAGGATATGTAAATCTATTGTTCTTTTCATTTATTAGATTACCTTAGTATTTGAGCAATAACTTATCAGTTTTATGAGGTTGTTTTAGATTATAATTAGCCCAGATCTCTCAAGATGAGGTGAGCTATAAATGAGGGTGAACAAGCACTGTCATCTGATTTGAAGGCATATGAGTCAATTCATTGTTAAATCTTCAATTATGTGGTGTGATGTAGAAAGGATACATTGCTCTTCTATTGATGCAGCAACAATGATCTCTCATTTGCTCTCAGTAAGTGAGTAAATTGCATCATTCTGAAAGAATTGTTTTTAGGTGAGGCACACTGGGACTGCAGTAGTTTTACCTCTACTTCTTTTGTAGTGTTGTTTACTCTGCAATTTAAATATATTAGTGATCAAAACTGTGTACACTGTCAAAAATGTTGCTTCCCAACTAATCTGGCCTGGTAATAGTGCAATCCCTGGTATAGTTTATTAAGAAGTCACCCCAGTGAATTCAGGCAGTTAGATTGATTCTGAGTGTGATTTCAAATGTTAGGGTTTCAATGTGTATTCAACTAAGGATGGGATTCCTGTAGCCTTCTCGATGTTGCTAGAGTCCAGTATCCAATTATCATAGCCACTGACCAGAAGTGATAGAAGCTGGATAACCTTTGAACGGCTGCAGCTCTATAATCATTGGCTAAGGTCACATGACATACTGAACTGCAAGCTAACTAGAATGCATATTCGTATGAAAGTGTATATTTATCCAATGATAATTTTAACCCAGCTAAATCGTGAAGTACTCTGGGTAATGTATTAACTGTAATGGAAACCAATGCCATGCAGACTATTTATGATTTAGTGTGTTATATGAAATGGGAGTAAACCACAATTATATATAAAGTTCTGAACATTACTGTGTGAATGCTACCAGTTTAGATTCAAAACAGTGGTCTGGGAATTTTAGCGCTGAGGTATGACATTTACTTTGATATCCCTTCTATGTTCTCATTGCCAAAATTGTATTTCATCATCAAGGACATCTGGTTTCGATCCATACATTTATGACTATGGTCTTTGATAAATATTAGTGCCAAAATAAATGTTTGAAGAACTGCTCAGAGCACTGAATGTTTGACCTGAGAATTGTATCTAATAATCCATAGTACAGTCCTCTGTTATGTATTATGTTCTACTGCAGCTTTCCCTGCCTTTGTATTTTCGGGTTTCTGTTGGAAGTAGAATTCTAATTCCATGCATAATGGCAATGATGAATGATGGTGGTCCAATTCATTTGGACGACACCAATCTGCACTCAGCCATATGGTACTACAGGAGCATAATGGATGATTAATAAAGGTTGGTGTTTTTATTGAAAACTAATTACCCATTGATATTGTGGTGGATCGACAAATGGTGTGCATAAAAAGGCAGTCTAAAATGTAACAAAATTTTAACAGTATAATAATTTTTGAGATGTTAGCTACTCTGCTTTATAATTTTAAAATGTAATTAACAAAATAAAGATGGTTTCGTACATTAACACAATCTCTTGCATGTTTTGTTATCTCACTATTCAGCGGAGTTTTAGTCTCAGTTACATTTACCTAAGATTGTAGCTTTGACAGAGAAGTAGAGGATTAAAAAAAGAAAGTATAAACAGCAAGGTATGTTTCTTGGTAAATGTGTATACATTCATTCAGTCCACATATGCTGTTGTCTGATGATTCACAAGGCAGTTTGCATAAGTATAATGGATCCAGTTGTTTAAACAGTAATGCAATGATACCATTAAAAATGTGATAGTTAAGAGAATCTAAATGTAAAAATAATGCAGGGCAGCATCTGTTAACTGTCAAGGGCTGTCAGGAAGAGAATAACATTTGCATTAATTCACATTAAACGGAATCACATTTGTAAACCCTGTAAATTAATGTTCAGCAGTCACAGCAATTGTCTTGTCCAACTGCAGCAAAAGTATCTTCTGTATCAGCTACGTAGGAACCAAGTGGCTAGGTTTCCAGCTCTTCCTTGCCCAGAAATAAGACAATGTCTGAATAGCTATCTTGTGTCTGATTGCAAATAACCCTGGAAATTCAAAGACTAGGTTAAGACACTTTTTTTTCAGGAGATTTGGAAACACACAAACTATCTGGCATATGAAATGAAGACAGCCCTGGTGGTAGCGAATGGAGGCCCCAACATCTGTTAAAGAGCACAAATACGAGGCTACAGCAGACTCTCTCTCCTTTTTTGTTGTTTTGTTATTCAACTCAATACGCGCTTGATTCACAATGTTCAGAGAGCTAAGCGGAAAGTGCCTTTTCCTGAACCTGGTTATTTATATACCAGAACTGGTTGCTGCTAATGCAGGGGACAAGAATATTGCTTGCAAAAAAAAACAAAAAAACCCTCCCCACTTCCACCATTGCACCAGGTTGTCATCTATACATTGGAGGATGTTTCACACCGAAAGTGGAAAAACAGGCTGCTTATAATTTGCTGCATTTAGATAACAAAAGGCATTTCATGTTTTAGGGAATTTAACGAACTGCAGTCTGCAATCTAATTTGTCTTCTAAACTCATCTGCCTTGCAGTCGATGTGGCTCTATGTGCTCCATTTTGAGGGTTCTTTTGTTTTTGTGTGGTGTGATTTGCTGGTGTGATTTAACAGTGGTTAAACTATGGCTTAGTGCAGAGTGGGAACCCAGCCTGTTATGCACAGCCAATTCTGATGAATGCTAAGTGCAAGAATTGATTGTTACAAAATTGTTCCTGCCAATATCTTCAGAGCTATGTTGTAAGGATTACAGTTATTCAGCAGTTGGAACAAGTGTTCATGGGTTTCCTGCAATTAAAAAAAATGCTTGAATCTCAGTTTTGTGGCCTTACGTGCAGGTGAATTTCAAACGGAGTTTAAAAGTGGAGCTTAGAGCATCTATTATTTACTATTCGTTACTGCATTGTAACCTCCGAAACCAAAGTCTGTTTAACTGTCTAGAGGAGTTACAGTTCAGCTGCACTTGATGTCGCAAGAGAAATGTGTGGTAGAAAGATGAGGTCAGGGCTGGTAAGTGGAAAGACACAATGGCACAACAGGAACCATTTTTTCCAGTTATCCCCCCCACCCCCAATGCATGGCAGAATTGAGCTGTTCCATTTTTGTTCATGTCTATTATATCTTATCATGGGTGGAAAGCCTTTTGGGGAAGGCACTGTGACAGTCCCATATTCTGCCCAGAGCCGAGCAACTTGTTAGCATTCTTAAGAATATTGTGCAGTAGGTTCCGCTTATGGAGGTGGGAGCTGCACTCCTGATGTCTTCCCAAGTCTTTGCACGTAAGATTTGCCTTCAAAGGCTCGTATGAGAAAGAGAGCGTGATTTAGAGATCAAAGTGTTAGATTAGGATTTGGAAAACCCAGGTCCGCTGTCAGCCATGGAAACTCAGTAAATGACTTTGAGCCAGTACTTCACTGTCAGCTCAGCCTACTTCAGAAGAGGTTTGCTGTAATAGAGAGAAAGTGGAAAGTTCTACAAAGCCACTGTGAGCTTCTGAAGAGAAGGTGGAACAAACATCCAAAAGTACAAGAAGACAAATGTATATTTCCATCCACCCAGAATACTTTGATGCCACCAGATTGTTAGGGACAACTTGAGATTACCCTTTTAACTCATCCTTAAGTTCTGGAACAGGATACTTGTAGGTATTAGCCAAAGGCAAGCATTCATTGGGCTCCATAAATCACATGTTTATCCGTGGTTTATTTTATAAACTGTGATTGACATGGTTCGCACACATTTGCTAAGCTATAAAGCCTAAAGATAAACCACATTATGGCTTAGTACATTACATCCACGTAACTGGAGTCAACATAGAACAGTTAAGGAAATGACTGTATAGTGTAGTTAAAGGCAAAGAGGACACTCTTGACCCATTATCCAGAATAGTCAAGGAAAAAAATATATAAAAGCCTCCTAGCTTACTTAATGCTGATCAGAGGATAAGCCATATGGTTCTTATTTATTTTGACCAGAGGAAAAGCTTTGGTTTGTTGAAATACGGTATTTTAGTTGGCTAAACCAGAATATCCTGAATAATAGAGTTTATTTATCAAATGGCTTAGACTGGCTAAACCTAACCATACTGTGACTTTGTGCCATGTATACATACACTTTCACAAAAATGGTTGTACAGATTAGAAGGGGAAAATCCAATCCTGATTAGAGGAACAAATTCTTCCTATCTGTTGCACCTTACTATTGAATGGAATTACTTGCATCCCATTCTGCTCTCTTTCTATAAATACATGGTATTCCTTAATCTTCCTAATGTGGCCAATTTAACTCCCCAGCTGACTGCTAGGCAGTCTGTTCACTGTGGTTCTGGGCCTTCAGTCATGGCTCTGAATGTTCTGATGAAAGCTTGATTTAACAACATGAAAGTTCCTTTGGCCTTTAAAATGAAAACAGGAAGAGAATAGTTGTCATTTTTTTTCTTGTTGGTTTGTCACTGATGCAATACAACAGAATTGCTGGCTGTACTTCTATATTTGGAACCACATCTTCCTCTGTGTTGTAAGATTCGTCAATATGTAGGACCCTTTGGATTCCTCAGTGAAACGTGTTTTGTATTTATTCTCCTGACTTCTTCATTAGAAGAAAATGTAGTACACAGGATTTTTCTAGCTCTACTAGTATACCTTTTCTTATCCTTTGGCAGCCTAATGTGTAAAAGTTTTCATATTGATGTTCAAATCCTAAAATATCTAGAGTAGAAAAAATATATCCCCGGAAGTCTGTAGTTGTTTTAACATAATAGGCTAACCTGTGGTTTCTTGAACAACTTGTATAGCAGCTTTGTCTCCAACATTAACATTCTGGGGAAGATGCAAGATAAATGACAAAATGTGCATTGTGAGGTTGTGACAAATGTCTTTTTTCATTGTTGCAGTTACTATCAAATAGCTGTGTTCTTATAACATATTGACAGTACCATTGGGTTAGACAGACCATTGGCTTAAATTCAGAATAAGGGAAATTCTTCTGTTCCTTTTTTCCATCTCCCAGTTCGTGCACTAAGAGTTAGAAAAATACATTGAAAAAAATAAAACAAAAATAAACTAATTGAATTGACTCATCCTGTTGACCTGTGATTAACTTAATTATGATTGGTTGACCTGCATTTGAGTAGTAAAGTAAAACCCAAACTACATCATGATGAAGCATAATGTGTGAAGTTACATGCTATTGATCTATTCACATGACATACTAATCCTTCTTGTTTGGGTAAGAGGGTCACGTGCATTTCCTTCTTAATCCCCTTATCTATACAGCCTTTCAACCACAATCTATGACTTACATACGCTGAGCATGTTAGTTTTATGTAGAACTGTTACCGTTTCTTCATGGATTGACTTCTCTAAATTATTGGCTCATCCTTTCACATCATGGAAGGTCTGCTTAGGATCTCTCCCCTTCCTCCCCCATGAAATAAAGGTTGGCTAAAAGACAGTCTTCTCCGTGGTGGACCCTACATTGTAGAATACTGTTTCCTGTCTGAAGGTAACTTGGTTATTTTGCGTCTGTCTTCTAGGATGCTCATTTAAACTTCTTTAATAATGTTTTTGATAATCCTAATACCAATAGGGAAAGGAGATGGCCACTTTATTTTTTAAATTGCTTAGCTGAAATTATTTGTATACTGGCCAGAGTGTTTACATTACATTGATACAGACATTTGGAAATTAAACAAGACAAATTTTCTAGTTGACCAGAACTGGCATTTGAAACCCTTGGCAAGTCTTGATTTTAAATTCTGATAACTTTATTACCCACCGTTTAACTATATGGCTGCTGTCATCTTAATCTTTTGAAATTATTTCAATTTTCAGATGATGATCTTCTATAAACAGAAATCCATGTACAGTCTGTGTCCAAAGAGAATGTTATAGCAAATAGCTCAATTTGGGCGTGCTGTATATGACATCTTTTGAAACACATGGCCAATTCTTAACATTAGTGTGATTACCTAATGCATTATTGATATAGAATATAATGCCATTTATTCTTTTCCCTAAGAACATTTTTCTTCGTTTTCATGCAGTCATCACTGGGATATTTCATGTAGCAACAGTGTTACGCAGAATATGGAAGTAGCTGAATTTTAAAATGGCATTTGCTAGTACTTCTTATAAAGCAGAAAATCTGCATTTTCCCCATTATTATTGTCTGATTTGTAATTCATCCAAATGGTCCAAGTTAACCAGCTACAGTATTGTTAAATTATATGTAATGTTGAGCTATATGGATGGCATTGTACACTTTACAATATTATTACTTGCTAATCTATCAGAATTCTATTCCAAAGTAACCATCTCATTTTGAGATAGGAAATGTTGGTCCATGAATACTGTCACCTATATATGAGAGGCAATAAATCCACTCAGTATATATATTTCCCTTTTCTGTTTACTCCTTGCTATTATTTCTAACATGCTTTTCCACCTAGCACTTTTGAAGAGTTCTATTCTTTACAATTTGGGAGGACTAACAAAGTTGTGTGTATATACAGTTAGTCAGCCAGCACAAACTTTTAATCTATTTCCATACGTTACCTTTTTTCAGAGAACATATTTAGATCAAGTTTTGTATCTTTGTGTCACCAATAATACAACAGCACAAATCTCTTGGTTTGAAAATTAAAGTCCAATGAATTGTGACGCTGTTGTGGAGAGAAAAACACACACACACACACACACACACACACACATGTCATGGACAGAACTCTCAAGACGTTCTAGGTGGAAACGCTCATTAGAATAATGAGCATTCATTCTATCATAAATGGCAATCTGAAACCATACTGAATTTTGTACTATATTCCTTAGGGCTGTCTAGACTTGTTCTTCCCAGTTTTTCTGCTGGGACCTGGATGAGATTGCCCAAGCTGAGCCAGCAGGATTGAACCCTAGCAACAACTGAAAATAAAATGCCTTCCAATATAGCAACTCATCTGGAAAGCTGTGTCGATTGCAAATCATGCAACTTGCAAAACCTTGTGTGCTTTCTAAGACAGATGGGATTATTTCCTGATTGTCCAGTTATCCTGGAATAACTTGTGTTCCATTCTAGGTAGATCTCACTTTCAAGTGTGTGTATAGAGAGAACAATACGTGAGATAAGAGCTGACAGTGCAACTATGCTATAAGCAGTACATTTCATAATGTTTCACTGCAAAATAAAACCGTGGCCAGCTAGTTTGAAAAGAATACTGTAACCCCAACCTATCCTAAAAAGGGTAATTTTAGGACAACTGTGGAGACATCTGATTTCATTTGTGTTTGAGGAGATAGAGTTGAAACCAGACTGAACTTAAGAACATATTAGCAACTCTCCTGAACCAGAGCAATGCCTGTTTCTATAGTGACCCCTCAGATGCCTCATGGAAGTAAGACAACAGGATACACTAAAAGCATAGAGCCAGTGGCAGAATTTCTGCCTAGTAAGCTGCCGGGCATGTTCTTTGGCCTTCATAATCTAATATTGAGGTCCTCCTTCTTCAGGGTCTCCCCTATCTTTGACTGCCTGATTCTTTAACTGAAGATAATGGAAGACTTTCTACGTGCAAAGCAGATGGACTCGGCTATGATCTCATCTCCCGTAGATAAATAGGGCAACTTTTCCCCCCAACAAGACCATAATTTCTGCAATTCAGAGACAAACCGCCAAATTGCCCAGAAGAAATAGCAAGCAAGCGGTGCCTATCAAGATAAATAATGTTGGCTAAAAAAAAGGATACTTAGCACATTCATCTGCCCAGTTTAGGATTATACTGTAGTTTCTGTTAATCAGGAAGAAGGAAAAGGTGGGGGAGGCATTTCAAGTACTATAATTTAACTGTTATCCAGACAATTGTGATCTATTCAATAAAAAGCACAGTTCAATAAACTACTGCTTAATACTTTGGAACCTGCGCTTTGCAGTATGGCTTGGATCTAGAAAAGAAAGTGATGGATCTTCCTCCTACCCTCCACCCGCACTAACTCTGAAGCATATTAGTAGTAAACTTTTGCCATGTGAACAAATTTGCATCTCTCCAGAGTGTTGAGAGGATGACTCTGAAAACAGGCAGAGATGGAGCCTGGGAAATCAATCTGGGAGCAAGCTGTTTGGCCTGGAGGAGAGCTCCCGTTTATATACCTGACAGTAACTAAAGCAACTCAAGACTCTGCTCATGTGAAAGAGGAGCAGAGATAATCCTCTCAATGAGCAATTGTTCCAGGCCAAGGAGCACATGAAGTGGCCTTTTGTCATTAGTGTTTCCTGTTGTTATGCAGCAGGCAGGAGTCTGTGTATCTTGACTGGTAGCCAACAACAAAGAAGATGCCAAGCACAAAACAGTGTGTAGTTGCTTGCCATTATTTCTAAGGCAGAAAGGAGATTGCAAAGTCACACACTAACAAAAACATTCTATGTCCTGGAGAAACCAGGATCTGGTTCTGTCTGCATTTTTGATCCCATGGCTTACTCCTAAAATTAATCAATGAACAATGGCCTGTTTCATACACCATGGTAAGCTGGACTTTAATTAGTTTATCAAATTCAGTCAAAATTGGATAAATTTACCCAGCAAATTCAAGTCTAAACTCTGCTTGACACACAAAAAATTGACACAAGCAAAGTAAATTACAGCTCATCTTAACCTGGCTATTATTCTGTGTGAGCTGAGCAACAGTGCCTGTTTTTGCATGGAAAGAAAACTAGATTTAGACTTCAGTGGTGTTAACCATTGTAAGCCAGGCTGGTTGATTCCAGACATCACACTAAGCCATAAATCCTAACCTCCAAATCAGAATAGCTAGATTTGTACAATACATAAAACAAACAAGCAAAACATAGAACTTACTGTATTGTATCAACCAGGTTAGAGTTTTAAAAAGCAGGACTGCATTCGCACTACACCGTAACATAATTTGCTTGGTTTTGACTTAACCTCATGTATAAATGCAACAGGAATAAGATCTAGTCTTTGGTAAACAAAAAAATTCTGAGCCCAAGTAAGCACAATTTAAAAACCACATCAACATCCCAAGCTCACTCCTGATATTCCTTAAAGTTATATTAATATTCTTCCTTTACAATCCACCCCTTTTTCAATGATTAATAGTTCCAACTGTTTGTTACCAAGAGAATATAGCCAGCAATAGGCACTACCATCTGAGTTTACACTCACAAAAAACTTGGTTTGCTGAGAAAATTTCCATTGGCTGAGAAGTTTTAAGGGGCTAAATTAAGATGGGGAAGAGTGGGATTTTTTAAATAGAATTTTCTAAAAATTTAAAGCATGCATTTAACCTTTATAAACACCAATCCACCTCCCCAAACATGGAATCCAAATTTTTCAGGTCTACCTTACTTCAGGGATTTGGGAAACCACAAAGTCAATGCTGTAAGGAATTTTAGTAAGCAACGACTGGTTTTGCACATCATACTAAACCCTATAAACCACAAGTTGCAACTACAGTAGCTGAGTTTACACTGATCAGTCTGACTTTTGGTGACCTTTTGGGGCTTATCCATTAAGGTTTTTGGCAACAGAATGGAAGTGATTTGCCACTACTTTTTTCCAGGATTCCTCCTCTCCCCCCCCACCCCCCACCCCAAAATATATATATATATACCCAGTCAAGTCCTGTGATTTTGGTGATTTCTTAACTAAGTTTGATTTTTTTTCAAGATTAGCCATGATGTCAAAGCTGTTTAAGCACAAATGCCATAATGCCTCCAAAAATCTGATGTTACTTAATAGCAATATTTCCATCTGGAAAGATGAAGGATTTTAGTCATTATCAGACACCAAAAACTAGATTTTTTAAAGAAAGATTAATGAAGATTGTGGTAGCAATCATGGAAAGCATCACTAACATGATCTGTTATGATCAAACAGACATAGGTGAATAGAGGTTTCCTCAGCTGCCATTCAACAGGTATGTTCAACCTCAACTTTCAGAACTTCCAGGCAATATATTAGGGAACCTAAGGCTGACCTTAGTATATACACGGATTGCTTCAGTTTCCTATTCTCATTTAAAATAGCAGTAACATTTGTGGTTTATATGTGCAACCACCTAAGTCAGGTTTAATTGCTGCAAATGCTGCTTTATAAGCTGCGCATATATGGGGCACCTATCCCAGTTTCCTACACTGGTCTTTCCCACTTGGTGCTCTCCAGGTATTATGGATTTTATCCCCACCACACTATGTCAGCCAGACAAATGGAAATTTTAGTCCATCTGGAGGTTTGAATAGCTTCTCTGTAAGTATCTTCCAGGGTGTCAAAAGCTCATTCTATACCAGGGGTGTCAAACTCACAGCCCAAAAGCTGGATGCGCCACATGCTGCCCCTGCCCCGTTTAGCGAAGGGGGGGGAAAGTCCCGATACATCACGCGATGCTGCTGTGATGTTAGTTTGATACCTGTTTTATACTTTCTTCTACCCCTAAGTAGTAGTTTAGCTTGTGGCTTGTTTAGGTTTGATTTAGTCTATTGAATTCAACAGTGGTGCTTTATAGATACCATTTTGTACAAACCTACCCTATGGCTTGTTAAAATTATGGTTAAACAAAGCATGGTTTAATGCCACGTGCAAAATCAGGCTTATCTCAAAGTGGCAGTTGAAAAGGAGACTGCAAAAGGCTTCTTAAGGATTTGAGGATGTCATGTACTTACAGAAATAGCAGACATCTGGGAGGTCAAAGCAGAACAGTTTAAAAAATAGGACACCTTAGACCTTTTGTCCATACTTAATTGCACGTCCAGGAACATTTTCTTACACATGGATATTTCAATTAAGACACAAACCCAAACAAGGATCTTAAATTTGAGGGTTTAGCTTTTATTTGGAGAAAAACAAAATCACCTGTACATTTCCACTTCATTAATCAACAGTGATGTGTGCCTGCAAACAGAAGGGGCCTTAGCAAATCTCCACTCTACTGAACTTTCTGAATTTGAAAATAAAAATAAAATTGCTATCCACACCATTTTTTGAGAAACAAAATCAAAACTTAAGAATAATCAAGCTCCCAGAGAGCAACAAGCTATTTTTTTTTCATTCAAACAAAATATTCTTGCTCTTTAATTAAGAGATAACAAAAAAATATGGAGGGACATGCACTTCAGTGTCTTGTTTAGCCCTTCTAGTAATTTCAGAAGGCAACATAGTTTGAGCTCTTCCAAATAAATAGAAATACAACAAAGGTTTTTTTTCCCTTTGAAAAATTAAAAATATACACAATTACAGTTATTTTATTTGGTTTCAGAGGCAGAAAAAGCTAGAGAGCAGCTTACAGCTCATGTTTGTAGCAGCCTAACAAGAAATGCTGATCAGTTGGTCTTCCCTATCAGAAGTGACCTAACCTTGAAGATTTGTCATTTGAACACATGTGCCAGCTATCCTCCCAGAAACTCCTGCGAGCTCAAAACAAAGGAATGCAATTACAAGAGGGTAAAAAAGAACAGAACCAAAAACCCCAACCTGAGGCCAGTGATATTTTCAAGTAAAAAAATAAAGATGGTTCCAGATTTCATAGTACTGAAGGGCAAACAAGGCAGGAAAAACAGTGAAAAGTATCTCCCAGCCATTCACGTTTCAGGGAAAAGGTTAAAAATCCATCTCTGCGACCCCCCTAAAGGAGAGGGGCTTATGGAAACAGCTTGTTCTGCCATCAGAGAACGATACAGCAGAGCAGATCCCAGCCTCTTTGAAACCCACCCCTCTTATTGTGTCTAAATAGTCCAAAGGCAGAAGAGTTTTTGAAGGGGCGGGCTTTTTTTCCTGAATGGCTGACGTTCTGTAACTGCTATTCGGTTTCTCATCTGCAGAAGCCTTTCAACCACTCTCTCTGTGAACAGCACAAGAAAAAGCCACTCTCCCTTGTGAGAAGCAGCAAGGCAGTGCAAGGGAGAGGGGGGAGTTAAAATAAAAAGCCTCTGGTGATTGTCTGTATTGTTTTTCAAGCAACAAGCAAGGATGATCTGGGAAACGTATCTACAGGAGAGAATGAGAATGCTTGGAGGCAGGCGTGTATCACAGCCAGGCCACGAGAAAAACAGGCCTGCTTCCCGAAGGCAGAGAGCTGCTCTCAGCAGCTGATTGCACTGGGCTGTTTGTTAACAAAGTCTGAGAAGAAGTCAAACTCATTCTGTCCCAGAAAGAGTTCTGGCAGCTCCTGAATGCGGTCCAAGCCCAGCTCCATAACCAAAGACGTCAAGACCTCCTCATCAATAAGATCCGTGTCCATAACATTCAAGGTCAAAGTAGGGGAAGGCAGATGCTGCATGCCTGGATGCTGTCCCGGGCCCATCCTGTATTGCTGTGCACCTGGTCCAACCGGGCCAGCCGTCATGCCTAGGAGAGGATGGCCCTGATACTGAGTGTTGAGTTTCTGCAAGTGCATACTTGCCATAAGCTGCTGGGTACCCACAGGCCCCATATACTGTTGCTGTTGACTTGGGTTGTTGAACATCACTGTGCTTGGCATCTGGTGGTGACCCATCTGTCCATTAATGCCCGGCCTCTGCCTCATCCCTCCATCCATAGCAGGGCCTCCATACTGCATCATCTGGTGGTTGGGAGGAAGCGTCCTTAGCACATGCTGCTGTCCATGCTGTGGCGGGGCCTGCATCCCATTCATGCTTATCCGGTAGTTCTGCATCCCATTCATGCCATGGCTCATTGACATCATCATGTGATCGGCCATCACAAACAGGGCACTGCAAGACAAAGAGTTCAGGTTAGAAGGCTGGCATAACAACTCACTGCTATGAATTCTAAAGGCTCTGCTGGTAGCAATTGGTGCTTGGAAGTCAAAGAAAGAATGATTCAGCTACCTTGCTGACATTCCTACTAGTTGATCAGGTTTTTTTTTTTCTTCAGATGGGAGAAGGTAGCAAAGTCATGCCTGCCAGCTGTCCTCAATTCCAATATATCAAAGGCAACACCAGTGCAATGTGACCTTCCAATGAGGAATGTCACAATGTCAGCCTCATCATAGAAGCCAAACCAGAAACTGCACAGGAAAATCAGAGCTACACTTTAGTATAATTTTATTGAGATATATCAGAATCTTGAAAGTCTGTTTGTGTGGTACCTTAACTCTAGCAATTTCTTAATATGTTTCCCAGCACTCAAAGAATGCTTCAGCCCCCTTTTCTGTCAAGGGCAATTTCTCTTCTAAACAAGCTGTTCTGCATAGTCCATTTATTTGATATTATCTACTATCCCTACTTAACTTGACATCTTCCACACACATTGAGGTTGAGCCTCGCTAAATTCTATCACATCTGATAGCCACTACATTGTAGGTGCAGACTGACAGGCAATTCCCAGGTACTTTAGACTGAATTCCTCCCTAACTCTATTCAGACATTTGATCTAAGAGATCTTTTAAGATAAAAATACCCATGCTACTATCAAGCCAATGACTTCCGGAAACTTGCTACTTTTCCTGGAAATTTCAAAGGGCCATAGAGTGTCTGCCCAACTGGCCACAAATTACTCAGTGAACTTCACAGCAGAGTTGGATTTAAACTCTTTGCTTCTGAATCTACATGTTAAGATTAGGAGGGGGGATGAGACTGAAAGCTGAAGAGTAACTGCAGCTCTGGACAGCTGCAGATGTTTCTCCAAGCAATGGGCCAGAGCTAATTCAATGAAGCAAAGAGAGGCATGCATACATATAATTCCAGCCTTTCTTGTCCACAGTGGCAGCAGATGGCAGGGACTCCTCCCTGCCCCCTCAGTCCATGTGGCAGAGGGAAAACACGAATAGGAAATGACAATGAGTCTCTTGGTCCAATGTTTTAGCTCAAAGAAGACATTCAGAACTCAACATTCCACTTCCCACAGGGCATGAATGATTTTGAGAAACTCTTAGAGTAATTTGCATCCTATTACTATTCTCCTTTCAGACATTTAATCTAGAGAAATACTGCTTTTGAACGAAGGTGTGACACAATCTGAACAGCAAACCACATTTTGGTCTAAAGTGGTACTAACTGAATTCAGAAAAGGTGAGTAACTATGATCCAGTTAATTGGGAATAAATGCAACCACTATAGAAATGACATGGATTTGCCTTTAATCTGTCACTCTAATCTTCACAATGATTACTATTAGGTACATCCTCACACAGGTTCTTACACTAACCAATTTTGGGGTTTGCACAATACAGTACATTAACAGCCAGCAGAAGATGCTACAGCCCCACCCCTCTTCCCAAACCAAGGTTAAACTTAAGCATAGTGCACTGCTGCATTTAATTCCAAATTGTTTTTAATCCATCTGTATCAGCATATTGCTGATTAAGTCTGTAGCTGTAAACACTTAGAAGCCAGGTTGCCTTCTCCTGCCCCAAATTGGGTACAATGGCCAAGGATGACCCACTGGGAGATTTGAAGGGGGGAGACAAGGCGCCTTCCAACTTCTTAGGTCTACTCTGTTAAGTGTATAATATTAACACAATACACTTAAGCTGCAAAGCTATTTGCTCACTCAGCAAACGGCGTGAACCCAGCCACAGGGGTTTCCAACCATCATTTACGAAACTCATTGCACTCACGGAGTATGTAGCTGCAAAGGAAGCACCCACTTGTTTGCTGGCCCTCTCTTGAGCCTAGGCCGGCCAGCCATTCAACAAAGGCGTTGTTCCTCCAACACAACGATTCGATTTTTTAAAAAGTTTGGCATTTAATTTCCTTGGCGATTTTGTGATGCCCCCCTAGAGGCAGGGCAAGGCGCTGCCGTTGTGGGGAGGGGGGGACGGCCGGACAGACGGCGGAGATTGCCGCTCGTCGAGGCTGAAATAAAAAATTCAGCCAGGCGCGCCAAGACTGGAGGAGTTCGGGCTCCTCTTTGACCTTCCTCGGCGGTTCCCTTCCCCGCTCTCCTCAGCCTGCGAGCCCCAATTCACACGTTGAATAGATACGTGTAAGTGGCTCCTTTATGAAAATAAAAACCAACGAAACTGCAAGGCAGGGACGTTATTTCGCGTTCACGCCAGCTCTACCCTTCCTCAAGAGACCTCAGTTTTTCCGAACCGGGGTGGCGGGCTATAGCGGCCCTTCTCCTGGTTCGAACCCTTTGGCGACCGCCACCCCTCATTCTTCCCGCCCCGGCGAGGTAGCTCCCGCTCCGGCACATTCCGCCAGCACAAAGATCAGCACTTCTTCGCTCAACATACACGCTTAACCCTTCCCTCCCGGCGCCCGACTCCAAGACAACGCAGCCTTTGCCTGCAGAGCGCTCATCGGAGGCGGCAGGCCGGCAGGGACAGAGAGAAACCCCGGCGCCGGTTCCACCGGCAAAGCAGTTTCTTCTTCCCCGGCCGCGTCAGTTGAAGGCCGAAGACGGCGCGCGCGCCCTCCTCCTCCTCGGACAACGTACCCCAAAGGCGGCGATCCGAAGGGGCGGCTGCACAACGGGCGAAGCGGGAGTCCGCTCGACGGAACAAAAGCAGCTCCGGCTTTGCGACGTCGGCTCCGCTCCGCGCCTTCTCCCGCGCCTCCGCTTGCCTTCGAGTCGGCCGGCCGGCCCGCCTGTCCGCTGCTTGCAAAGGCGTCCCCGAGTCCGGACGCATCAATCCCGGCCAGCCACCGCCCCCTTTTTTTTTTTTTCTTCCCACGCCCCCCCCAACCGCACACTCAACCCCTCAGTATATGTCTCCAGCAGGGTAAACTTCAGCCTCCTTATATAGTCGGGCGAGGAGGGCGGAGACTTTAGCCACGCCCCTCCGTTTCTGATTGGTGCGAGGTTTGTCCAAAGCGTCCTCTTCCCCCTCCCCTCCGCCCTACCGCGGAACGAGGGAATTCGGGCCCGATGTGAAGTCTCGGGGTCCCGCCCACCTGTTTTTCTTTCGCCCCCGAAGAGGGAGAGAGACTTGGAAGGCGGTGGCTGGCCGGCTGATTCTGCCGCTGGTTGACACCGGCAGGGAGAGAGAAGGTCGACTGACGCGCCCCCCTTCTCCAACCGGCCCGCCTAAGAGAGACCTTCCTCCCTTTCCCCTCCTTCCTTTCCTTTCCTCCCTTTCCCCTCCTTCCTTTCCTTTCCTTCCTTTCCCCTCCTTCTTTC